GGCACTGACTATGAATCTTGGCATAACTCCAGAGGTTCCAACCACCACTGGCAGGATTCTAGCGTTGGGTACTCCATGAAGTTGGGCTGCCAGGGGGATGACTGGTTGGTATTTTACCTTTTCCTCCCCTGTTTTCAGAAGGCTAGACTCATCCTCGCGGCGGACAACCACATCGACCACGTGGACCCCTTCCCGGCCTTTTTATTACCAGGTCAGGTTTGAGTCTAACCCCTTCGGCAACGGAGAACGTGGCTTCCGTGGACACTTCCGTGTCCGATTTCCGGAGCATCTTCCCTTCTATTAAATTTTTGATCTCGTCATGACGCTTTATTCTTGCTGGCTTCGTAAAAATGCACTGACCGAGGATGTGATTCATGGTTTCTACCGCTGTATTGCACTTCCAACAGAAAACATCCTCTCTGGGCCTTCCTCTACTAAGAGTTTTATTGGCAGCGGCATTTGATTTCAATGGGAGTGCAATGATAAAAAGACCAGGTTTTAGAAGATGATAGTCTTTTAAAAAGGCATTTTCAATAGGATCGTTTATATGCGCCTAACCGCTCTCCCTTGGGATCCCAGCTTCTCCCAGGCGGCAACCTCGTCGTCGGTGCATTTCTTCTTATAAGCTCTTAAATCTCGTTCAGAATACGGCCAGTTGAGTCTCAGTGATTTTGCGATCTTTAGTGTCCGTTGGTAAAAACTCGGACAGGAGCTCAATCATCTGCAAATAGGATCTGCAGATTTTTCTAATCGTAATCCTAGGTTCAGCGCAACTCTGGGAACGTGTTGGGCGAGCCGCAGCTATCCCAGTCCTCCATCTCTCGTTGCTAGATAGAATAAGCCATCTGCAGTACTCATATGCATTTTGAAGTCTCGACACTGCTTCCATTAAATTCGATATGGATGCCTTAGATGGGAAGCCGTTCCAGATAGAGTAGTTCACTCCCAGGTATGTAAGAGTATGATCATTGCTGACAAGGGGAATTCTCTCCCCTAACCTTTCCAGACAGGGGTCCTCAATGAACCAGGATCGTTCGAAAGTTGTAATTTGAAATGGTGAACATTTCGCGACGGATAATGTCATTCCGAGGGCCCCAAGATATTCCACCACTACATTAACCAATTCTTGAGCTCTCGGGACATCTTTTGCTAACATCACCAGATCGCCAGCAAATGCTAACACGGACACACTCCTTCCCTATAGCGTGTATCCTGACATATTTTCCAATTTCTCAAGCAGGCACTCCATGATGATATTAAGAGTGGGACAGTGGATATTAAGTGGGGACAAGGGATCCCCCTGTTTTACTCCTCTACGAATTGGCACAATTCCTTTCGAGGGGTGCTGAATAACGGTGGAAACATCGGCGTAAGAGTCCATTACCAAATTGGTAAAGGCGTCAGGGATCCCTTTCCTGGACAGAGCCCACCGAGGAAGGCCGCGTGAGGAACACTGTCAAATGCTTTGGATATATCTAGCACAACACCTACACCACCCTCTGTTTTTTCATGTCACTGACTGCTTCATGAAGAATTTGAATATTAGCGAAGCAGCCAGGTTTAGGGATAAACCATTTCTGGCGTGGATTGAACTTTACCCCGGATCGAATGCGTTTGTCCATAATGCCCCAAAAGATTCTGCACAGCAGAGAACTAATTGTGATGGGGCGATAGTTAGTGACCACCGTGTTATCTTAACCCTCTTTTGGTATAAGGATGGTGCGATTAGTTTTCCACCCAGAAATCACCAAGCCACCGTAAAAAATTTGGGTGTACAATAGGGACAATATTTCAATTTTTGCTCCTGAGGATATGTGGCTAAATTTTATCATATTGGGTCCTGAAGCCGTGGCATTTTTCAACCCAGCCAGACGACTTTTAATTTCGGTAACTTGCACTGCCTATAGAATTGTGTCTGGGTCCATTTCAGGTGTCAACAATATATCACCCTCTCTTAATTCGGAAAGCCGAATCGGGGACGTGTTACCCCCGATGGATTTGTACAGGTCATTAACCTCATCCCTGTTAAGGGGCTGTATCAACACTACTACAGCCAATGCCCGTTCTAATGCATTTTGCCAAAAGCGCTGGATCATTCTTGAAGAGGTCCTGTGCCCTAGCATAATAGTAGCGCTTCCTAGCGCGTTTGCCTCCATGTCTACGGGGCCTTTTTGAACTGATGGTGGTGGGTACAGAGGAGCTGCCCAAGATCTCCACTAACTTGGCATAGGTCTCGTTCAATTGGTCCTGGGATACAATATTTGCTTTGAGTTTATTTCCCACGTCAATGAGCTCTTGATCTACATTAGTTCTAGAAGTGCCCCAGGTTCCTACCTAAGTTAAAATATTTTCCCTCCAGTTAGGCTTGGCATCTAGCGTGGCTCTGTTAAGACAAGTTTCAATAGTTACGTCACCGGGCGTCATAGCAGCCGAGGACTCAATAAAAGTTTGCTTCTGTCCTAACCGACCAGCGGTGTCGGAATGGGCCGTGTCACCAGCAGATAAAACAGAATCAAAGAGGGCGGGCTCAGCTCCTGATTCATCTCTGAAACTATAACGGCCTCCTCGTTAGGGGATTGCCCCCAATTTGCTTCAGGGAGGCAATGTCATTGCGAGTTCCACAGGGTCACTGCCTATGGGCCGAGGTTTTGGAGGGGAATCGGTATACGGCTGTTTGCTTATCTCGACCTATAAAGACATTTCCACCCCCTTTGGAGAAGTGTCAGAGCAGGGGATCATCGGATTCCTTCCTGTCCCAATAGTAGGCCTTCGATACAGAGGAGAAGAAGAAATCAGCATATGGATTTGGCTTACTTGAGTCTTAAGGGGGCTAATGACTCAGCGAGGCGATGAGAAAACAGCTACATTGAATACAGAAAACAGCTAATAGCTAAACACTAGTAAAAGGTCTAAATAAATCATTGGACCACTGACCATCAGATGAGGTCGAAGATGCCTCTGCAGTGTCGGTAGTTGGAGTTTTAATGGTTGCTAAATATCTTTGATATGTAGTCTGTTAGATGAAGTAATTTAGTACAAATAGGAACAAGATTAATCAACTTCTTCATTACCAGGACATGTAATATGAGTTTTTCTGATGAAAAATAGCAACTTTGTGCTGCAACGCTACAATGCTTTCTTTTTACAAGTTAATTATCACTTAGTAGGTGAGAAAGTAAAAATATTCGTGTAAGACCTATGTCAATAATAATGATAATGATGAAATGTTAACCTTAATATTAATTAATTATTGACCAATGTGGATCAATCGTTCACTTAAATACATTTATTCTTCTCAATGACCAGGTAAAATAACTATTAAAAAAGATTACTCGCACATATTTAACAAAAAATTAAATAAATTTGACAATCGAACAACTATGCAATAATAGATCAAACCTAATCACTGTAACACATTTTCATTTTTAGAAAAGGGGGCACTACTATTATCTGTGCTAAAGCACACTGAATTATGGAAATTCGAAATCAATTTTTAGGAAAATTAATAGGTTTTGATGGTTCTTTAGTTCCTTCATTGCCTTTTGGTTTCCCAAAAAGTGGCATCTATTCAAAAGAGACACTATTATGAACTCTATTGGCATATTTACCCAAACTTGCATGATAACTGTTATCCTAATAATATGACTATTGTGGGTCAAACCTCCCACCCTACTACTTCAATACATTGAGTTTGGCTTTGCCATTACATACTTTAGCAGTACCCATTCTTAACCTTCCATTGCTGCCATTTTCAGACGTTTCACCAACAATACTCTGGGTCTATCAGTCCCAAGTGTTTTCCAGCCCACTATTTCAAAATTACAATTTATGAGGTTGCATTTTGTAATCATTTAAAATGAATACATGAATCACCTAATTGTTTTTATTATTATTGTATTATTTTCAACTTTTTTGCTACATAATTTCAGACCTTTTTTAAACGCTTATTTTCACACATTGTAGCTACAAAATAACCAAAACTAAACGTAAATAATCTTTTAACACCTTTATATTTTAGTGTTATTTGCTATAAACCACTGCATTACACGAAAACAGAGGTAATAAAAATAATTGTATTAGAATTCCAAGCATGAACAACATGTATTTATTACTTACCTCAAAGCAACAGTGCATTGAGGAGACCCAAAATATCAGAAAAATTAAATATTTCGTGGAATAAGTTTCCAGTATACACAATAACTGAAGGAATGATTAAGTACAAAAAACAATAAAGTTACTGAACATCTGAAGGGTTTACAATAATAACAAACCCTGAAAAATTAAAAAGTTGTTTCTCTCTGGGTTCAGGAGAGCTATGGAAGAAAAAAAATAATTTTATTTTTAAGTTTTATAATACACAGTGTGTGTTATCTTTATACTTCCAGAGAAAATAAAAAAAAAACAACAATTTTTCCACAGCAAACACTACAATGTTTTTTTTTTAACTTCCTTCGTAAGACTCTAAAAAGTGCACAAAACTGATCTTGGGTCTAAGAGAAGTTTCACAATCTAATATCATATGGCAGCTCATACCCATGTACAGTGTATACTCATAAATAGCACTTTCAGTGGAGGTGAGTCAAACCACCTCTTTTTTTTTTCCTGTTGAGATTTTGTCATGTAGCAATGCTTGAATTACATACATTAATTAAGGAAAGTTGACAAAAATTAACATATTTAATAATGATGATAATAATAATAATAATAATAATTAATATAATAATAACAATTTGTATCAAAATCTTATTAATATAGTATGACTTTTTAAAAAGAAATATTTGAAGTTCATAAAGAGAGTGATGTTTGTTTTAATGGAACAATAGACAAGGAAAAATGGCAGACCCAAATTGAAATTGAGAAGAGAGAAAAGAAAAAAAAAAAAAAAAAAAAAAAAAAAAAAAAAAAAAAAAAAAAAAAAAAAAAAAAAAACAACCAACAACAACAACAACAACAACAACAACAACAACAACACCAACAACAAAAAATACATGAACTCTCACCTTGGAAGGAAAAGCAATGGTGTTAAACAATAATGGATCACCCGAGAATGCTGTTTGAACAAATGGACAACATCTTCAGCTAAAGGAATATTGGGTGTGGCCACTCGAGTATGCCACATTACATACAGCTTCTTCTGGTCATCTATAGAAATCACATATACACCATTTAAAAGCAAAAAAATATAGAAATATTTGTGAATTTTAGATACGGAAAAATCTATTACTTATACCTCTTTTATCTCTTTGACGAGTATCTTGCAACTGATATGCATTGCGAACCACAGGATCTGGATGGTATGACATACGATGCATTGGGCGACTAGGTTTTGAATCTCGAAATACATCATGTAGAGCAGAGCTCAATAAACCAGGAACAAGACCTCCATAATTAGTACCTAAACCTTGCCTTCTTGGGGCAGTGTCTTTTAAAATTGTTGAACTAGGTGAAAATTTTATGAGATCTTCTAAATCAACAACACGTGATGTGTAAGGATTTGCAACCTATTTAAAAAAACATTGAAAAATGATTATGTAAACTGAGAAAAATTCCTCTTGGTTAAAATTTCTAATCTGATTGAGTAAAAAAAGAAAACAACTTAATTTTTGTCTTTTAAATTTTGAAGACAATTCGTAAGATGTATTGAAGAGAAACATCTTCATTCTTTCAAACTTTCCAAGAAACATACATATTTATTAACTTCAACAATACACAGAAGTTAATGCTGCATTGTTTGTGGTCCTATTATTTTTATAAAAATTCTGAGACATTCCCATTATGTAATCTCCCTTCAAAAACCTACAGATTGCAGGCAACAATAGCATTATTCATTAATATTTTACCTGGGAAGTTGTTTCTTGCTTTCGAACAATTTCCATTTTGTGAAATAATCCCATTTTTTGCATCAGTATACTAGTCAAAAGACTGGAGCGTGCACTTAGCCAATGACCCAAATCTTTTGCTTGTATATTTAGATTTTCAACTCTTTCTTTGGACCAATTATATGTATACATCGTAATCTGTGGAGAAAATATAGGTATTTTCATAAATATAAAATGTAAAATTAAGTACCATGTAAATCTTGAGCTCTAGCTCTTTTCAATCTAATGAAAGCAATATATTGAGGATTCAGCTACATTACTAAAACACTGACATGTGGAATTTTTTAAGAAAACAGGAAGCAAGACTGAAAATAATTTATAATTACTGTATGGTTGTAACTTTTTCATTGAAGTAAATTCACTCAATTGACTCAAAAATGGCTAATGATTTATTTCATTTACTATATTTCAAGTTTTAGCTATCTACTGTACAAAAAAAGTTAATTTAAAGTGTTCCTTTGACAGACTGAACAAAAACGTGCATTCACATTTGAAATTACATTAACCATAAGCTATTCAAAGATGAGATAAATTAATATTAAAATCTTTAATAAATATTCAACCATTCACATGTTTTCATTGGGGCAGCCCCATTTCACAGGTGTTCAAGGTTCCTAGAAAATAGTGAACTAGACATAGTAAAATAGCACAAACTTTCTCACATTATTCATAATCGTCACTCAAAATTATGCAAAAACTACTCATATTATCAAAAAATTGCACACAACTTTATTAAAGGTCTTATTTAGAAAAAAAGATTTTACTACAAAAAACAAACTCTTATCCTCAATATTGTAATTGTGTGAAAATGTTGAACTTTTGAAAATTTCAAAAAATCAGTTTAGTAAAATTGGAACATGCCACTTTCATCACTTCAAGGGAAAATTTGGAGTCATTTTGGAGAAAATCATAGTCATGTATTTATTTAAAATTGCGTTTATTTCAGGCACAATACTGCAAAACTATTCATTTTCAAAAATTGTACAAGTCCTTATTTGAAGATCTAATTTTGAAGAAGATATTTCATGACGAAAAAAATATTTATCTTCAATATTATAGTTGTAGGAAGACCCACAAATAATTTTTGAATTTATGCAATTTTAAAAAAATTATGAGAAAAAAGTTTAATATAAAAACTTTGGAACTATGTTTTAGAAAATCTTGAAAGTACACCCTAAAATCAAAATATCAATTTCAAATTCACAGAGCCTCGGGAAAGACCACAAGGATTGGGGAATGTCAATTTTGGAAAAAAGTTGTCTAAATAGTTTAGACACTAACATTGACCACAGGCGGACAGACATTTTGTCATCATCTAATCTTGTGGTATCAAGGATCCACAAAAGTGTGGCTTTCCTGACTTTGAATGGCAGATTTCTGTTTTTCAAAAATTGTGTAACTTTTGGAACAAAATGAGAGTAAAACCAGTTTTTAAATATCTCCTGCGCCATACAAATACATTTTTGGTTTTGATAAGTAACCGGTAGAGACAATATGCAAACCTGTTTAAAGTATATTGACTAGCCAAATTTCTGACAACAAGTTTCATTATTTGACTTCCTGATGCATTTGATGTCACAAGAAGTGTCGATCTCTCTTTGCTCCTTTTGTAACCTGGAGAACTTTTCTGAACATGACACAAGTGTTTTAAAAGGTAGCATTTTAAAATTAAGGCCAGTTTTATTGAAATTATAAATCTGGTCATTTGTTAATTTTTAATTTTTCTCTATATCTGTATATTCTTGCAAAATTTTACTACCGCTTCAGAATCAGCAGATAATTTCTCTCCGTACATCTCTAGTTGCTAAATACCATATATTTTTTCTCCCACTTCTCAAGCCAGCCTACACTAGCAGTGAAATTTTTAGTATCTCCCTCTTCCAATTCTTTTTGAAACACCAAAGCTTTTTCTGGAAGAATTGGACCTGAAAGAGGGCATCCTCTTTGTCTTTGTTGGGTAAACCACATAAAAAGTGTTCACCAGTTTTTTCATATTCAGATTTTTTTCAAATATTTTCTGTCCAATGAGTATGAGAACTAGTTACTAGAAAAAGCAGTTTCTAAGCCAATCACCAACCGTATCTTCACCTACGCCATACAAGTTTTTTAAGGGTTTGCCCCTTACCCAGTCTTTTTAATGCTTTTAATTCCACTGCTAATGGAACAAATTTCCTTTTCTTTTTTGTAAAATCCATCATGGAAAAACGATTCTATAAACTACATTTAAAAATTTTTCAAAGGTAACTTAAATTGCACATGCTAGTATTGAACTAATCGAACTGCAATCTGCGCATCTAAACTAATTGTTTTTTGATGGATTGGGCAAAACAAAATGCTACCATACAGGTCTAACAACAATGCTTCGAACCAGCCAATCAACAATAAAAAACAGATGTATATTTTTCATGTCTTTGTCATTTTTTCGGGACTACATTTATTTATTTATTTCAATTAATTTTTTGCTAAGTCGGATTTAACTTGCAATTATGGGAAACTCTAACAATCGAAACTCAAATTATACAGACACTACAGTATATCGATATTATCTATAAATCAATTTTTTTTCTGTCCCCTGAAAATTCTGTTTACAAACATTTCTATATCAAATATTATTTACATATATTGAATTTATTTTCTGATTGGACTATTTTTGTCTATGAAATAAAAATGTACAGTTCACACCATAAATTATATTCAACAATTTGACAGGAGATAAAATGTTCCCGATGAAATGTTTCAGTGGGTTAACAAGTGTGAACAGTATTTTGAACAGAGTGCATCATATGGGCAACAAGACATTAGGATTTTGTTTTTTTGTTTTTTGAAAGTTGAATTCAATGATTTGGTCAGGTACGTATGCAATTTTATTATTCATAAACATGTGGTGTGAATGATTAAAATATTAGTAAATTATTTATTGTTCAATTTTCCATTTTTCCCAATTTTTCCAAAATTATTTAAAAGCATTTGCAAAAAATGTATAATTATTTCTGTTAATCGAATATTACTGAAGAAACCATCAGATTCGATTTATGGAGATCTGACTATCTTCGAACACAAATGATGATCATAGTATGGTATTTTCACTTTATGATAATTTGTAACGAATTTTTCTCATATTATTATTATTATTATTATTATTATTATTATTATTATAATTATTATTATTATAATTATTATTATTATTATAATTATTATTATTATTATTATTATTATTATAATTATAATTATTATTATTATTATTATTATTATTATTATTATTATTATACAGACAAGTAAGTCCATTATTTACAAAAAGAATACAATAAAAAATTTGCATGTAGCAACTAATTATAAAAATAGAAACATGAAGAAAAACATTCAATAATAACATATCAAATATATCTGAAATAAAAGTAGGTCTACCGTGCCTAATCATTCGAATTTCAACATTTTGTTGCTCGCTAGTGATAAAAAAGCAGATTTAGCTGTTTCACATACGTCAATATTCAAACTGTTGACCGATTTTCAATTTCGATTTGTAACATTATTTGTGCAGTGTATTATTGCCGGTAAAATCAAATATCAAAAATATATTTGATTCTAGAATTAAAGTTATGTTAAGTTAAGTTTTGTTCACTATCTGGTTTTGCAAGATTTTGCAATCGACCTTACCCAATAACAGTTTTCTCAAAAACAACAAGTCGTTCAAGTCTCTCTGAGAACTCAGTGAAGGAATGTGCAATTGCAGAGCCAAGTCAATGAGCTAGAGCCAGTCAGTCAAGTAAATATATTCATTAACCTACCTTTAATAGTGCACTACATTCTATGACGTCCATTCTATTGTTACATTTTGTGACAGTCATTTCCAAAATTTATTTAATTAAAAAAAGAAATGAATAACACTGAATCTCTTGGCATAAAATCTTCGGGCATATAGCAAATATTTTCTTAAATTGTGTTCCAGAAGTACTATAATACCCAACTGTTACATTTCATTTTTAATATATTTAATGAAATTACATTTCAATATATTCACACATGTAAAATACCAACTTGTATCTGATGCAACAATATTTATGCACATCACTGGTTTGTGTGACAGAGTTTTGGAGTCAAAGATCGTCCTGTTTTTGTCTAAAATTTTGATGAATTTTTTTGAATCCTCACTTCCTTCTTTCAATAAATAATACATAAATGTTATATTCCACAATTAATATAAATTATAATAGACTATAGAGTTTGTACCACAGGTCACCTAAATTAAAATATTTAAATTTATTCTGGAAGGTTTATAAACATTATATATACCTATATATAATTATACTTGTATGATATTGAAAATTTAAAAAAATCTTACTTGCTGATTTGTTAAAACTGCCAAAAGAAATCTTTGACGTGGTACAAACTGCGTGCTTCCTGACCCAGATATATGTGTTACTAGCAATGGTGGAAATTTCTGAAAAACTTTTTGAGCTGGAAATGAAATAAGAGCAATAACAATTAAATGATTGTTCTTTGCAGAACTTCCATAATTCTTAAATTAACCCACAAATAAAGAACAAGTATTTATGATAATTTCACTCTTAAAGAATTTTCATAAATTAAAAATAATTCAGATGAAAGACAAGTCTAACATGTAAGATGATACAATATTCCTACAAACCTTTTGGAAAAAGAACATCTTGATCAAAAGTACCATCATCTGTCACACATGCTCTCCACTGATCAACATTTCGACCAATGACAAGACAGTAAGATCTTTCTTCTGAATGGGAAAAAGTATTTTCAAATTTTGTATCATGTGAAAGAGTGAACATTAACTTGTTTGTTTCAGGATTCAAAGTTGGATAGAAAACAACAGCACTTGTATCAGTGGCATTGATTTTCACAAGATTCTGAACCTCCTTCACCATGACTGCCAAAGAATGTCTGCAAATAAAGTAGTGAAAATGTCTTGAATCAAAAACTGCCAATAATGGAAATTCTTTTAAACTGGGGTAAATCAACATAGAAAATAACAATGGTAAAGGTCAAAAAGATTTATTATATTTTTCAAACCTGGCACATAAATCCACTGTGTGTTTTTTAACTGCTGGGACAGAGAGCTCAACAGCAAATTTTAACCATGGTTGCATTGTGTTTTGATATACTTCATGAAGAAAATAATTTTCTTCACTCTCAAAAACCTCCGCTGCATCAGCCTCACATGCTTGACTTTCATCCTAAAATTGAAAGTAATAAATCCACAACCTAGTGTCATGAAATCACATTAGTGCTTGACAGTGTCTGAAATAAAATTATGCACTTACTTGCATTTCTGATGCAGTGGAAAGTGATGCATCCTCTGCTACTTCAGTTGACTCTCCGACTGTTGAATTAGTTGAAATGACAAGTATTAAAACAATGTAATGTAACAACTCTAGGATTTAGGTACACTGTAGTAGAGCTATTCCAATGTATGTATGGTATCTATCTATATAAATTGGCCTCAAAGTTATAACTAATGTTGGGAAGGCTCTTGATTTGTGTCGAATAATGTCATTCTACAGCACATACTTTCTCACATTATTTCCAACTTTTGCAATCATCAAAAATAAGACCTGCACTATTAATTACTTGGCTGTATGGGAGACGACGCATCCTAGGCAGAGGTACAACATTTTGGCTGCCATTCTGAGACCTTCCTGAGGGGGAAATGTTAGGATCTCTTTATAGTTACATAACTATAAAGAAAAAAGTAATTGAAGAGTTAGAACAAGTTTTTTTATTTACTATACATAGGAACAAGATTTACCCACATTTTCAATATCAGGGCCCGGTAGTAAGAGTTATTTTGGTAATATTTCGCCATTTCCCAGAGTTATAATACCCTCTCTTCCCACGAAGTAAGTGCGAGAAAGTAAACAAGGGGTGCTACAACAGCACACAATTTCTTGCATTATCTGTAACTGCTGAAATTACTTGCAGCACACAAACAAGCAAATATAATTTTACACATAAATTGAACATCCAGAACCATAGGCCATACAATAAATTGCCTTATGAATGCAATATAAACTGCAATACAATTGCGTAATGTCCATCTTATGTACATCTGTGAAAAATATTCTTCCTGACTTTAAAGATGAAAGACGGTACCAATTTTTTAAACACAGAAACATTTTTTTTCTTCATTAGACAACTTTACATCCTGTTAAGGGCAAAATCCTCCTGTTTGCGCAGGGAATTATTAATACTTCTTTAATGAAGTGATAGGATGATGATGATGATGATGAAGGGTGAAGGGACAATCACAAATACATCCATGCCCGAGGCGGGATTCAAATCTGAGAACCTTAGATTTAAGATCGCCACGGCACTACTGCCTTACCGATCTCTGCTCTGGATAGACCCTTTTGTAACATTAACGTTAAGTAAATAAAGCCGTCTTATCTTATCTGTCACCTTCATCCATGTCGCTGACTAACTATGAAATTCTCTGTATAACTTCTTGAACTACCATATCGCTGTGTTGTGTAGCAACGTCGTGTAGAGTGTTAATATCAAATTATCATAACAACAGTTCATACAAAGTTATGAGACACAATTCTTTCAAAACAGTAGCACTACATAACTTTCTCTAAAGTGCACAAACAGTAGCAAGAAAGTAAAAACATAGTCATCCAATTGCCAAAGTTTTAGCTGAGTATTTAGTTTGCACCAGGGCTACAACAAGATTCAATGTACATTGAAATTATGTTATGAATAAAATTAATTAAATTAGCACTTATTATACACTTACTTATACTCCAATAATTCTATACCGACAAATCACTATTGCTAACATACAACTTCCATTGAAAATTTACATATGGCACCGAAACAGATATACAAAAAATATCACAGAGAATAAGACCTAAAATCATGATAATGGCATGTTCATTGTAATAGCAACTGCGGAAAAGAATTTTTTGAATTGTTGCACTATTGCCAACACAATTAGAAAAAAGAAGAAAAAGTGACGCCAACATTAAGATTAATAAACACAATATAATGTACAACAACAAAACTGATGTTGAAAACTTTGCAAAAGTTATTATTTTCTTGGTGTGTCTTCCTACAACTACAATAATGATGCTGTTCATCAAAAACATCTTAAAATAAGGTAATGTTCAATTTTTAGAAAATATTAGTAATGCATAATTTTGGTGACACATAGGCAATTTTTGAACAATATTAATGTATTATCCTTTCAAACAACAGCACCTATATTTTGCTTTTAATTTTTTTCTTGTATGTAGCAAAGACCTGTAAAGAAAGTGGTGCTGATTCTATATCTGGCAAACTCTCCAAATTTTTGAAATTTTTTTAAATCTAGAATTTCATACTCTTCAAAATTGATGTTGTAAGTGGAATTTGTGGTGTGTTAAGGGATTTTATTTGTTGGGGGGTCTCTAATGTTCTAATGGTCTCTCTATGATCTCTAATGTGTGTTATGGAATTCTCCCTCACCATCTGAACCATAGTTCTTTTTATAAGACCCAACATTAGAGACAGACCCAGTTCTTATTATAAGAACACACATGAGATGATCACTCAAATTTAAAGTTAATGGTTGTTAGAGGATCAGAGTCCATGAAGAAGTGCATAATAGGAAGAAAATCTAGGAATACAAGAAGGGAACTTGGAATGGTTGGCATCAGATGAAAGACTAAGAATGCAAATTCAACATGCAAAACTTTCGTGGGAGGGGGTGGGGGGTGGGGAGGTGTGAGGGGGGGCAAAATGGCAGAGAACACCCTATTATGAGAGGACGACTAAAAAGAAACAATGATACATGTTAAGGAAAAAGAACATAGAACAAGAATGATAGTTCAGGCAAGACGATTTAACATTCTGATCAAGGCTATTTTCTAGACAATTTGCTAATTTGCCATTATTTTTGTCTGAATAGTAAGAATTAGTTGAACAGTTTAAAAGATCAGATTAGGAGGTCTCTTCAAAATCAAAAGGTTGTCTTATTTTCTGAGTAGATCAGTTCAGATACAGTATTTTTTACATCACATTATTTCAATGAACAATATCCAACTATCATTAAATATATTCATTTCTTTTGTAAATAATGAAAATTTACATGTTTCTGGAGTGTTGCATGCATTTGCAATTTAAATTTTTGCCTAGAAAGCATTTTTTCAAACCAACTTTTGAGTGCTTATAGTGGCTTAGCCATTCAGAATATCCAAGTAGTTTATTAGACACAATATGCTAAAAATTGTCTTAAGAGCTTATTTTCGAAGTTTTCACATTTCCTCCCCGAACACCCTGTATACATTATACTTATTGTTGATATACAAACACTTTAAAAGCACTAAATTGGAATATAATAATATATAATAACTGTTTTGCGAGTGTTGTCTTTCTGCAAAATATATTTCAAGAATGCGTAGACATAAAATCCCGTTCTGTTGAACACTGATTGATGGGCAAAAATTTGCATTAGAAAAGCATAGAAACACTCCAAATACATGTAATTTTTTATTATTTACAAAAGAAATAAATATATTTGTTCAGAAAAGAAAATTAATCAAGAAATAAAAAAGCACCCAATTTACACAATTCGATTGCTGTATAATATCTGGGTTAATTTTTTTGCTTAAGCTGAAACACTGGTGATTGGATAACTGTTTTAGTCAACCTAAAATCAAGAACCTTCCCATCAATAATTAAAATAATCCAGTTTCTTCACAATCTTTTGCAGTCTTTCAAAGCTTAATAATCTTTAGCTTTCAATAATTATTTACTCTCTTATTAGAACATTACAGTAATAGTTTATTGAATTCACATACGCATTACAATGTAGTTAGATACTTGAAACATCACACACAATGAACAAATATGATTCTTTCTTATGATAATGTTCCAAGAAAGAAGTATACATAAAGAAGGAATATGTTTTAATTCTGATTTTTTACCTTTTAAGTGGGATGGTGATGAATCCATTGAGCTTGCATTTTGAGTTAAAGGAGCAGTCAGCAAACAAAATTCTGTGAGCAGATCCCATGTCGAATGCCTAACTGCAGCACATAACTTTTGGGTCAGATATTCCATATTTACTCGGCCCTGTTTCCAAATGCGAAATTCTACCAGGGCAGCAGGATCTATTTAATTTAAGTGAAAATTACATACAATGTATTTTTACATATAGGTATTATACAAGCTTACATAATATTTTATAACACAAGGTGCATTTGATCATTTCATGATCGCAATCACATTGTAAAACACTAGGTGCACTGCAGATATTATGAAAACATTACACACCAATAATCTCAGGGTATTTGGATACCCCAAGGTCTACGATTTTTGTGTTGTTACATCACAGTGATTGTGTTTGTACAAACTAATTTATATATTATTTAATCAATCTGTATGAAATACATTTTAATTTGTTTTATTCACGTACATGTAATAACGTGTACATAGCAATTCTAGTAAGTGGTTTGGGTATCTGTATATATGCGAGTATCTGTGTAAATTGTTTAAAGTGATTGTAATGACAACATGATGACATTATCACTCTCCACTTGCACAACACAGTTGTTATTTTTGAAAATTTATATCAGTATGTTAAATTCAATGTTGAAGTATTGTTCAGAAATGTGGATAAAGAGGGGCACGAGGAAACCAGAAGTGCGGAAGTAACTCAGAAACAAATTTATGGACCCTTGTAGAAGAAACAAGAAAGAGAAAATTCAAAACAAAAAAAGAATTGATAATGAAACACTTACAAGAAATAAAGGAATACTAGAGGAAATAGAAAAGCATATGAAACAATTGAACAAACAATGACTTCTTTAGATGGATGATGGTGATAGTTAAAATAAACCGAAAAGCAGTGAATCACAAGAACAAGCAAGACTTTAAAATTGATAATGGCCTCTCATCAAAAAATTTAAAGAGTTTAGGTGTATACCATACATTTTTTATGATTCAGAAAAAATATTAAATTCCAGAACTTCCAGCACAATCTTAACTTTCAAAATATTAATCAATGAACATAACAGAATAAGTTTAAAATTACCCCGTATATATCGTCGCTTTGGTGATGAAGTGTTTGAAATTTTAGTTTAGTACATTGCACAGAGTCTAGAAAAAATAAATTGACTACTTTATGTTTGCTCAAGGTCATACAAACAACATAACAATGTAAGTTCTTAGACTCAGCTAATGATAATTAACCAACTTTTACATTGGTTGTGGAGACTTTGCCACCAAAACAACAATATTTTGTAATTAGATATATTTACAGTTTTATATATTTGTATTACCTGGTTCTATGGTATTTTCATCTGGAATATATGTTGATGCACTGGTAAGAGAGGCAAAGTCTTCTTTGCACATAGATTCTTTGTAGGCACATGTAAATGGTTTTGGGTAATGAGAGTATTGTACCAAATTGCCTGGACTGTCAACAACAGCAAGAGCAATACATGCAATGCCTCTGTTTCCACATGCTGGTGTTTGATTATAAAGAAATAAATCACTCTCTGTAACACGTTTCTTGGAGGATTCTGGTTGGGAATAATCCTATCACAAACAAATTAATAACATTCAAAATATTTGTTTACTACAACAGGATTTTTCCTAATAAATTTTCATGTTCTCACTTAACAATGTCTACATCTACAGTCAAAATTGTTTATAATGAACTTCAAAAAAGTGGCGGATTTTGTATTTTGTAGTCTGTGATCTCTTTAAGCTGTCTTATACGTCATAGCAAACAGTGTACTACTTTCCTGGCTGAAATTTTTCCATGAACAATATTCTGGCAGAATTGGAAACACTGAATCCAGATGTGGTGCACATAAATGCAGCTTCAGATGTATGCTAATCTTTGCCTGAAGCATGTCCACTCGCAGGTACTACATAATTTTGTACACTGCTGTTTAAATCAATCTATCAGAGAGTCGCAATGTCAGTGTGATTAAATAAATGAACTCATTTTGCCTTACTGCACATATTACATTGGCTATAATTTTCTCCTAGCTCTTCATCACTCCAGTAATTGTCAAGCATGATTTGAGAAATTCGCAAGAGATCAAGCTCATGGAATCACCTGAATAAACTTGGAAAATTATAACCAACTGCTGCTTGATAATGAACCGTTGCTGCAACATGTTCTCTTGTATTAAGACAGTATAGAACTGAAGGTCCCCCTGAAAAGTCAAATAAATGTGAAAGGAAGAGACAGAAGGTCATTTCACTCAACATGGCAATTATCTCACTCAGAATAGAAGCGGTTTTGTTTTCGAAGGAAAAATAAAGATTTCATGGTCTTGAACAGCTGAGAGTTAGGCAGGGCAGGATCAGATATCACTACCCTCTTCTTTTTTAATCCACTATTGTGATGGAGGCACGAGGTGATGCTCAGGTGAAGTTGGACCAAACAGAGAACATAGTCTGCGGCTGACATAGTCTGGCAATTTTTTGTGGTGTTGAGTAAATAATCTAGAAAGCTTTTGCGTTCATGTCATAGAACAGAAAACGAGAACTTTTTATTTTGTGACCAATATTTCAACAGCCACCGTTTCTAGAAATGTAGTCATTCTAACCAATATGTTGTTACAAGCGATATTAATGTTTTTTTTATTGTTATTTCATATAACTGTTCATATGGTTCATTAAATCCATTTGTACACTTTAGATGGTATCATTATAAACAATTTTTACTGTAAATTTTACTCAAATCTGATTCTTGGAAAACACCATTTATAAAATAAAAGAAGCATATGACATGAGCATTTAAAGGAAATGATGTAAACAAAGTACCTGAAAATGGAACTCAGGCCTTGCATCTGTGTATTTAGGAATATACATAAATTCCAGAAGGTTTTGACGTAAATAATACGCAAGTGCCTGAAGATGTGATAAAGCATGTGGTTGGATAGAAAACTGAAATAAAAGTAGTTTCACAAAGTCAAAATACACATTTGAAACCAATGATGTATTATGATTAATACAGGGAATATAATTTCATATTTTTGGGAGAAATATATAAATACCTGAATAACTGATTCTGGGGTATGATGAGGTTTCTGTATGAAGTGAACATCATCAGGTGTGAGCTTGCACATTGGATTACGAGCTAACATTATAGATAAAACTTCCAGAACAGCATCATCTAAACGATTTTGGAGAACTTGAACTAATTCTTCCTTGACTTGTGGTCCTAAAAATAATGTTTTACAACATTGTGCATTATATTTTGATACAAGAGTCCTTCCAAGTCAAATGGCATAAATTTAAGCAAAATTTGACCTGTGAAGTGTCCCACATTTTTTAACTTTTTTTCCGTGAAGAGATTCAGCAAAAATAAAACAGTTTTTTTCTTTCTTTTTTGAAGATTGTTTTTCAAGACAGTTTTAGTTTTAAAAAATTCCAAAAAAATGCTTTCATTGCTAAAGATAATTATCCGCAGCAATAGACAATTATCATCTTTGTACTTTCACAGAGCAACAAATAGTAATATCCCTTCACATCTTACTATTTGCCGGATATATACTTATGACTAGGGGTGGATTTTGATGACCTAAACATTGCCAAAATGATCAATGAAATGCTCTTAAAATTTTAAAAATATGCCCTATAAAAAAAGAAAAATGACGTAAAAACTTTTGATTAAAAACCACTTCAGATAAACAACTCAAGCTGTTGGATAGGCTGCTGATGTAATTGAGGTTTCTTCCTTTTGTTCAAGTGAATTCAGCGTGCAAACTTTTAGTTTAGTCTGTTCTTTACAAGAAAACCTCTGCCTTTAATTATCACGAAATCGAATGAACTGACAATATAATATATGAACAAATAAATTGAATAGGTGATTACAGATTCCTGAGGTGAACATGTGTTGTATTTCGTAAATATTGTTTGAAGCAAGGACCATAAAATCGATTTAATCAACAAAATATGCATTAAAAATTATGTAAAAAGGTAAAAAATAACTTATTAGCCCAAATCAATGCAAAAAATTACGTGTAAAAATGGGTCAGTTTCTTTCGTCATCACATAAAATTAATTTCTGTACTAAATGGCATTGTTCTAAAGAAACAAATGACATTTCATTAAAATCTGTCCCTTATTTATGACTTTCATTGCCAATTAAATTCAAATTAAAAAGAAACAAAAGGATTCAATTTAGTATTAAACCGATGGACTACTTATATAAATAAGAGTATAAGATGCACTCAATTGATATTTCTTTTTCTTCACTTAACAGAAAATATTGTTTATTGATCATTTCATATAGAAATTATACTAATGTATTTTCTTTGTGCCTTCTTCTGTTTTGTATTTTTATTTTCATGTCACTGTTGCAATAGTCTTCTTTCTAAATATTGTTTAGCATTGTGAAAAATATGAAGGTAATGTTTTTCACATTTTCATCAGTCCACGAAAACAACTTCCTGGGCAAATTCATAAGTTCCTGACAGGATTGAACACTACATTTTATTGCTAATATTTTACTTAACCCCCCCCCCCCACACACACACACACACACACAGAAGTGTTATGAGTTTACACTGAAAAGGGTGAACTGAATTTGTGTCATGATTCAGGCATCCAGTAAAAGAAATTATTTTTCAATGTTTAAATTCTTTGTTTTCTCTGAAGAAAGGCAAAAAAAGGATGCAGGGTAGCTAAGACATTAATTCACAGCAGTCTCTTAATTATGTATTCAATTATGAAATAACAATTTTCTAAAAAATATTATACTGGACAATGAAAACTGGACTATGAAACAAATTTTTATTTTTGTTCATAAAGACAGCAGAAGAAACAGAAGATGAACTTGGTCAGTTTTTTTTTCATTTTCAGGTGATACAACAGAGTGAGCATGTCCTACCAGGACCATAAATACACGTTCATTTGTCATTGTGACTGTCCAAAGAATTTACGGCATGAACAAGTTTAGACGATTCTCACTTTCTTGAAAAAACTTAACTTGACTCGTCACGAGAATTAATTTTGAAAACCTTCTTTTCCGAAACATACAACATTTTTCTTGTCAGTAAACACGTTGCAACTTGAATGCAGGTAGTGACAATGTAAATGTACAATTCTTCTGCAATTAGGTTTTCTCATTAAGATAATGGAAATAACAATAGTATTTATATTATTCTAAGGCTATCCACTAATTTCACAGAACAACGCACGTGTTTTTAGGCACTATGTTTGCACAACTGACTCAGTAGACCTGAGAAACAACACAGCTTGTTTTGGGCAGACCCTATCAGTGTCAGTTGTTTATAAATAAACCTAATAGTAGAATTTCATTAGACCCCTTCTATTTCAGATAGTTGTGCATGTTTCTGTGATTCATAAGATGATATAAGCCTCACGGTTGCTTTATGTTTGGATATCATGTCATTGATGCTCCATGGGGCAAGCAGGCAGTCCGGCAGACAGTGGGCTGCCATCATGCTTCAGTCAACAATTTATCTCTTTAACCTTATTTCTTTGTGTTCTATTTTGAAATTTGGTAGATATATGCAACATCAGTGTAGAAATACATAAGCATTTTTGAAATTAATTTAAGTGCCAGCATAATAAGCAAATTTATATTTTAAAACTTGAAATATATTTTAAATTTTTAAATAATATGTACACAAAAATTATATTTACATCATATGAAAGTACATATTTTCAAAGTTAATTTAGATGCCATTGTATTTTTCCGAAGGAAACAAAAAGTGTTTAAACATTTGCACACGCAGGATGCTTTCAAAAAAATAAATGATAATATTTCTGAAAGAAGTGGGATTAGAGAAAAAAGAAAAAAATATGTCTCTTGTTTTCAACATTGCACATCATAAAAAAAGGTTCAAGTCTCTAAAAAATAGTGATGTGTTGCGAGTGTGTGTTTTGACATGTAATGACTCACATTTGAGATTTCAGTTAAGAATACTAATAAAAATATGTCATAAAATAATGAAGGAATCAATGACATTGTTTAACATTCAATATCATATTTATATGAGAGATGATAAGATACATTCACATCAACAAGTTTAGAGATTTTTTCCAGAGTCATTTAATGAAAATTTTTGGCTGATCGAGATTACTGATTATAATTATTTAATGCTTTTCATATTGCTGTTGAAATATCAAGTGTATTAACTGATTCACAATATTTTGTAATTTATAAACTTAAATACAATATTATGGACAAAGAGAAACATCTTTCAAACCTGCTTCTGAAATTCCATGAACTTTCAGAACAACAGATCCTTCTGGGCGATTTACTGGAGGTTGAGGTGTAAGAGAAGTTGCAGGTTCTGCTGGACTTACAGTAATATTGTCTTTTTCACCAAAGGATCTAATTCTCGGCCGAGTTTCTGCCTGTTTAATTACCATAATAATACATAAAAAATGTAGTCTGATAATGAAAATATCTTTACTATTCACTATTAATATCTATAAAAGAATTATGGTTTAATTGCAACAATTACATTTTACCTGAGCTTGAAGAAGTGTTTCATCATTGGTGATGGTTGATGTTTTGCGTGCACTTGCAGTGAGAGAAGTGACAGAAGAACTGCGGGACACAGCACCTGGAGAATTTTCCTCAGTATCTGAACGACCTGGGCCAAGAGAACCTGAGGTACCCGTTGGTGTGAGTTTAGTCAACCATCGAAAGTTTTCATGTAATCTGAAACAGATTGAAAGTACATTTTACCCTTTTGACAAAAAAAAAATGTAATACAAGCAATTCATTTTTGCTTTCTACCTGAGATAAAAGACATTTCCAGAAATATCTTGATAAACAAACATATTTTTTCTATTATTAACCGAGAATCGATTAAGGACACTTCTTAATGCTTGTATACCACGAGAAAACAAAGACTTCCCAGGTCCAGTTTTCAAGCGGGGATGTAAACAAAAATGTGTTTCCCAAACAACATTACAGGCAAACCAACCAGGTCGGAACTTCATTGTTGCTTCAAGGTAGCTACCTTGGTACTCGTTATCTGTTGAATCTGGAAAACAAAACAAAACATAATAATAATAATAACAATAATAATAATAATAATAATAATAATAATAATAATAATAATAATAATAATAATAATAATAATGATGTTCATCATCATAACAACATTAACAAGGATCCAAGAATTTAGAAATGAATGTGAATGTATGCTAATTTGATAGGCAAGCTAAACCAGGAGAAAACTAATCAAATTATTACTGCTGGTAAGGTTTTAAAAGTTCTTTCTGGAGTTATAAAAATCAACACAAACTTCCTCCCCAAATTTGATAGCAAATTTTATTCATTCACTGTGCAAGGAGTGACCAGACAGGCATGATTACATTCAGTGTTAAGCAGTAATGACCATGAATTATCAAAATACCATCAACACTATCAACAAACGGCTGCATTACATAGGAGTTAATCAGTGACAACTGTCTCTAACACCTAAACACATCACCAATGACTGCTATGGGTTTCATGCAAAACATACATGATTCCAGTAAGGACACCAGCTGATCTTCACTTTCAAATTATGCTCTGCTTTACAAAGAGACCATCAAATTTTACAATGGAGGCACCATGGTCAATTCCAATATATACAATTTATAATGGTGCTTCACACATGGCAGCATATAATGGTGTGGGGTGGAATTTCTCCCCTTTTGAGTTCATTAAGAGCACTTTGCAACAGAATCAATAACTAACAAGTGTACATAATCAATTGCTCTGCTTTTTTTCAATATACATTCCACAGTGCTTTTCCAACAAGACAATGCTTCTATACAAACTGGTCATCTCTGAAGATTGTTATGAAAATATAAACATTGACACCAAACCTGTCCCTAATTACTAATTATGAGAAGCTAGTGAATGCTCTATCAACACCAAATCTATTACAATATTAACAGCAATTACATGAACTAATAGCACTTTCAGCAAGGCTCCACACAAACGTGTAGAATGCAGCATGAGGAAAATAACAGCCAGAAGCCACACTGAAATACTACTTTTGGAGCATGTAAACTAAAAATGGTCATGCATAAGTCTTGATTTTTGATTGATGCATGGGCAAGCATGTGTTTAAAAGAAACAAAAGCACTTTTTTCTCAAAATTCTCAAATGGAGCATTCCCATTGAAATCTTGAAAATGACTTTATACATTAAAGCAATATTTTCTGAACATCTGTATCTGAGAGAAGGAAAAACAACAATGTTGAATGGAATTAAATGATGTAAGTGGTGTTTTGCAAATGATTTCTACATCTCTCATTTGAATGTTTACTTATATCTACCACATTATATATATTTCACAAGACACTATTAATCTATATTTCAAAAGTTTGACTTCTATTCAAGTAACCTAAAATTAGCTAAAGAAATTCACATTTATTTAAATAAAGACATTGATTAAAGGCTATACTATTTATCTACCACATACTACTGAATTTTGAAGATTTTCTTACCATCAAATGATTTCATGCGTGTGAATGTGTTGTCACGAGGAGGAGCATCAGGGTTGTTTTTCCAAATATCTTCGCTAGATTCTGGTTCCAACAACTGGTCACACATTCGGGTATCATGAAGATTTTGCAATAACATTGTTTGATTCACAACCTTACACAGGCTTTTAATGCATGCAATCACACTGCGATGAACTTCTTTGGCTTCTATTTCAAGACACCTAAAAGATGAAATTCAGTGTGAATTCATTCACTCTTCAAGATTATTCACCCAGATTCAAAGAACATTAATATTTAAGATTTTCTTATGTATTTCTATTTTATTACTACCAAAACAAAATGACATTGGAAGGCAAGAAATTTTGTAAAATATAACGACATACAATTGTTCAAAAAGCCCATGCCCTTTTTCATTCTAGTAAATTGTTTCTAAATATACCATGTCTACTGTTTCTGCATGTGTTTCATTGTTTTATTTGATGTTATGAATATCACTTTAAAGTTAGAAAAACTTTATCTGGACATTTTTTACTTCATGAGTCAAGGCAAGTTTATGAGACATTCTTTTTCTCATAAAGACTCTTGGAATTTAACAGAGGTGATTACTGTGCATTGACAGCATTGATATTGTGCAAAAGAGATCTCTGAAGTTCTGTCTTTGGTTGTGCTCAATTTCCACTGAATATGGGAAGTATGCTGTTATGTATAATTAAGCAGAAACAGCTTTTTATTCTTAGCAACAGTTTGGATAGGATTGCCTTTAAAGAAAAAAGTGGTCACATTTTAGGATCACTTTAAACTTGTTGATGAATGTTCGTCAGGAAAAAGGAATGCTCTGAAATGATGGTAATTCTCTGAATGAATCTAATGATTTCAGGTTTCACCACTAGATACAAGACAAGTAAACTTTTAGTTTCCCGTATATGTATGTATACGCAGAGTAATATCTGTAGTATAGGGAAAGTTATGTAATGCTGTGGAAAATCGATTTAGAGATTTTGATGGAAATACACATTTTGGAGTTCCCTGATAGCGAAAAGGTGTTTTTTTTCAATACGTCTGTCCGTCCATCCATGTGATGTCTGTGAACACTACTAGCGCCTAAACGCTGCGTAGGATTGTTTCCAAATTGAAGAAACCTGAGTCGATCTTTGAGATTTTGAAAAAAATTCTTTCGAATTTGGCGGTACTTTACATGAACACCCCAGGACATTTTCAAACTTTTCTCAAAAACAGCTACAAAATGTCTTTGAATTTCTTGTAAGAATAGAGTAACATACACTTATAAACATGACATAGGTGCAATTTTATGGTTAACTCTGAATTTTCGAAAATTTCAAAAGTATGAATTATTTTCGGTGTCTTCCTATAACTACAAAATTGAAGATAAGAGTGTTTTCCTTGAAATAAAAGTTGTTCTCCACAGTGAGTTCTTTCATTACGGTCCTGTATATTTTTTTGGAAATTTTAGTAGTTTTTCCACAATATTGCGTACAAATGTGCAATTTAAAAAAAACAACTAGAAAAACAAGATTTTTTCAAAAATGACTCCAAATTTTGTCTTTAAACATTTGGTAGGGATAGTGCTAAATGTACTATATAAGATGACAAACGCCATATTGCCTTATTCTTTTGTTTTTTCAAAAAATTCAAAAATTTAATTTTTTTGACTTGCCTCTCATGTCGTTAATATTTATATTAGAGGCAATTTGTTCACATCATTATATTTATGAGTACATGTGCTTTAAATAATGTCATATAAAGTGAATCAAAAACTAAACCATTTCTTGTGAAAAAATGCAACATTTTCAGAAAAGCTCAAATGTCATTTTCTCAAAAACTGCTCCAAATTTTCTCTTCAAACATTTCAAATGGATAGTCACAATTGCACTCTTTAACATGACATCAAGTTAATTTCGGTGTATTTTTTTTGTTTTTTTTCAAAAATTACACAAATGTAAATTTTTTGGAAAATTGCTCACGCTATTGATATGCACATTTCCAGCAATTTGTAAACACTATTATATATGTGAGTTGAAGTATTCAAAATTACTTCAAATTAAGTTTTTTGAAAACAAAAATATTCTGTGAAAACGAGCTTCAAATTTTGAATTTACAGTAGTACTTGTACGCCAGTTTTTAAAAACGGCTCCAAATTTTTTAAAGAAAATTGCCATTTAGAACAAGGTTTTACTGTTCTTTAATAACCTTAAAATAATATTTCCGCTCTACAATTAGAAAATCAAAAAATTAACACAATGCGTTAACAAAAAATCAAAAAAATGTACTTTGGGCGGCGATAGGTGGCAGCTGGCAAGAATATTTTGCAAGTTCGAATAACTAACCAAGACCAAAGGAAACAGAAAACTAATACAGGAAAGTCTGTGCCATTCTGTAGCACCACTAGTCATTTTTAAAAATGAGTGTTGAATCTGTCAGAACTTGAAAAAAATGAGCTATTTTATCAGCAATGAACATATTCTTAGGTTGATAACTATTTAATAATGCCTACAGCTAATTTTTCTTTTTTGTTGCAAATATTATTGTCAATAGAAGCACTTTTGTAAAATACCTTTCTGAAACTTATGTCATACCTCAATTTAAATTTATCAAACCAATCATTAGTTGCTCTAAATCCTTAGTGGCTGAAAAACTTAATTTACCTTTCAGTACCAGTCTGCTGATACTGACATTATTTTCTTTGCATTGCTTAAACCGTTAATACACACTCTTCAATATCAGGGTATTTGACAAGTCTTGCCCCTCTCCTTTTCAAATTAGATCCAGATGTTCTCTTCCAAAGAATATTTTCTTGTTGTTTCATTATTGTCAATAGTGTGCTTGCAGGATTCCTAAATTTGACAGCAACACCTTTTTTTTTTTTTGCACCCAAGTTAACAGCTTGCATAAATTTAACATTTTCTGTATACATCAGACTTTTGAGCTTAGAATGGGATAGCATTTTAATTTTTTTTTAATCAGCACAAAGCTCAAACTAAAACAACTGGCGAGTGCAACTGTTTGTAAGGAAAGAAAAAGATCAATCAGCACCAAGTGTACACTCAGCACTTTTACAATTACATATATGAATTAATAAAATGGTGGCTTTATAAGCCCTTAAACACGAAAATGGCAAAAGGTATTAAAATGCAATATTTTGGTCCTGAAATTCTTCAGTTTTCCTTGTGGTCTGTGGTATTCTTGAAGCCCTCTACTTTCCTATGGAGTGAAAAGGAGTGAAATATAGTACTCTAATGTGAAAGTAATGGAAACTCATTGTTTACAGTGGAAAACAACCGTTCCTGGATAACGTTCAATGGTTATATCCTTAAAAAACTGTTATTTCCAGGTATTAGAGCCCCTTCCCATGATGCCACTCAAAAGTGGTTCCAAGTAGCACAGCTGGTAGCAACGCATTGGTTTAAATGGAGGTCTTCCCACAAGTAGCAGGTTCACGCTGTTGTGGCACTTGGTGGCGCACTCCATTCACAAGCATCGCGGAAGCACCACTAGTAGAACACAGTTTTCAATGGTTGTCTTCTCTCTGGGACACTCGGTCTCAGTGCAGAGCTGCTGTTTACCTGCTGCTTCTTTTGTTCATTGCCCTGCCGCCTGGGCCGAAATAGGTGCGAGTCATGAAACCTTCCCCTGTTGCGGTGGGTGGCAGGCAGTAGCGGTGGTGTTTATGCATGATGGTGTTTCATCCTCTAAATGTTTACGACCATACAAAATTAATATGGTTAAAAATCATCAGTTGAATTGCATTCAAATATTTTAACAGGAAAACAATGCATTAGTTTTTTTGAATTACGTGTTAAGATACTGAAGTGAACCTCAGAATTTTCCTGACAACTTATGAACTATATCTTTCAAAGAAAAAATTCATATTTTATTTCTGACAGTTTTGTCAACTGAACAATGTCATCAATAACACAGGTGTCATAAAATGGACACCCTTGCATACAACGGAAACCTCCCTAAACCAGAATTTCTTGGTGACCCGATCGATTCCGGCTAAGACAGATTTTACTGTATATACTAGTTAAATAGGAAAACAAGTTTTTCATCATGCTAAGAATAAACTGATATTACCTGCAATGGAAATAAGTTGTGACTGCATCTTTATCAACTCGCATAATAAGCCAAAAATTGGGCAGCGAAGGTCGACAAGTCTCAAGGTCTTCTAACCAATCATTTTCCTCGGCAGAATCACTGCTATCACCTTCATAACCTGCAAAATTTACAACAAACACCCTTGTTTATTTAATGCTATTTCTGAAATAAAATGTGATTTACTATTTCTGAAATAAAATTGATTTACTTTAAAATACAGCATATTTTAGGAGTACTAAGATTTCTTAATATAATTCAAAGGAATATTGATAAGTCCTAAATCTAGGATCCTTTCTATTAAAAGAACTGAAAAAGGTTTCCTTTACATGTACGTTCTTTTGAAATTTCTACAATTTTGTCAATTACTTGAGAACAGACTCATATGTAAATATATATTTTTACAGATAAATATATATTTACAGTAAATATATATTTTATCTGCGAACTTCGATTTTTCTCCATCTTAATTCTGTTTCATGCAGGATCAAAAGTTTATTCTTTAACCACCAGTAGCACACTTACAGTGTTTTGTGTCAATGACTTCCTAAAAACGGAACAAAACAGTCATCTTTCCCTAGCATGTTATGTAAAGTGACAATACGCCATTCAGCTCACAGGCAGTTTGCTACTTCCCCATTTATGCTACCATTTGAACCATTAGCTCTTGGTGTTGTCTCGTGTCTTACCCCAGAAAAATGAGTAATTACTTAATATTAGCTATTAGTAAATGATAAATCAACTTCAACTAGCTTATATGGTCATTATACATAATGACTAGAGATGAATATGCATAATCACTGACAAATCACAATGACTTTATCATATACGTAGGCCTACTAGACTACTTAGGTATTTTATACCTGAAATAAAACTCATGGTGCAGACCAATGTTCAGTAACTTCTATAGATGTAAAAAATGTTCCGCTGCATTGACCTGGCTTTTTTGGAGAAGATGGAGGAATGGTAATTTTTTCAAAAGATGTTAGTTTTAGGTGGTGCCCATTACATTCAATAATATACTCACATATTTTGCACTTCTTTTTCCATTACAAACAAATCTGTTCCCTGGTGTTTGCAAGCTTAGTTGATGTTTTATTGTAACGCCTTCAAGAAAATATATGAGGTTACTCTTTTTATTATATCATGGAATGTGGGCAGGGGAAACATGAGAATCCCAAGCAAACTTGCTGTGAACCCTCTTTGACCACCACAAATTCCATATGCATTAACCGGGAATTGAATCCTGGTATTAGGTCCCATTGGCAAGAGGCAAGCAGTGTAACTGCTACAGTACAGGTTGCCCAAATATGAAAGGTATCAGAATGTTGATAATATTGAGTACTAGCTGATTACTTCGCGTTGTCTGGTCATAAAGTCTTGCCTGACTAAAACATCATGCCTGTTTTCCCTACCCCATCTGTTTGTATTATGACATGCTGTTTACCCGCCTTTGCCTGTGTACCTATTTATCACAATCATCTGTTGAACAGCCTTCCATGCTCCATCCATCCCAATTGCTACACCCTCCGTGTCCAGTCTGCCCATTTCGCCACCATATTTCTCGCCAGCCAAGGCAAACTACAATACCGTTAGTTGATTTCGGCCTGGCAATTATCTGCATATATGTAGCATATGAGTACAAATTATGATGGATAACAAATTCTTAGATGTGAAAGGGATGACAACTACAGTGATAAAAGTCAACTTCTACATAAATTTATAAATCATTGACTTTTCTCATTCATAAATGTCTAGAGAAATTACTTTCAAAATTGGAAACTAGTTCAAAGTGGCTGAAATAATCCCAATATTGAAGCAGAGAGATAATTAATTAACAACCAATATCACATATATTGGATTTTGCTAACATTTTAGAAAAGATGGAGTAACTTTATAAATAAGTATGAAATGTATTTATTTATCTTATAGTAAGTGCACAAGAACCATAATACAGCAAATGCAGCCCAATACATCACAATGTGACACCACAACTCTAAAACCGTCTTCAGAGGGGTACAAAAAAATAATTAGTCCCTAGAGGGGCACGTCCCGCTTCTGAATTCATTCCAACGCCACCAGTGTCAGATTAAGAAAATATGGTGGATCCTCATGATAGGCTGTGAGTTCACAACCTTCTACTCAGTAACACACAGTCTAGGTATGAAATAATTAACCCCATGCACTTTTGATACCACAATCACCAAAAAAGTATTTTTCAGGTACTTCGTGAAATTTATAATGCAATCGAAGATAGCTATGTGCACAATGTCACATGGCCATTCTCATTGATATATGTGGCTAGCATTCTAGCTTCTAGCCAGTGGCATCTCCTGACTCTGGACCCAGGATGTTGGCAGTGAAGAAAAGTGTTAATCCCCACACTATTCTTTTTGCTTACATATTTAGAGTAAAATAGAATTACATAAACAAAATCCTGATTTATTTTAAATCATAGTATCATAGAGAGAGGGAAAGATAGTCGCAAAATAATCAGGGTGTTGTAGTTTCTTATGTAAAGATTGCAATAATGCAATTTAAAGTATTTAACAATACATGCTTGACATTTCTCCCATGTCCTTCGGTTGTCTATTTAAAAATTATGTTCTGAAGTGGAGTTCTGGTGAGGTTAGGGTACGGCCTCCCAATATCAATTACTCATTTCTTTTCTTCATATGAAAGTGAAGAAGCAATTATTTAAAAACTTTTGTACTACTTTTTCACTATCCATATCCAAATAACATTAATTTCATGAGTATGACAATCTCTAAAGGCTACAACACGCAACAGTGAATATCTCAACCATGGACGCTCGCTCACTCGCCACAAACAGGTCGTTGAATTGAGATCCAATGCCTTCGTACGCTTCATCGATTGAGTGGGGGGATGCCCCGTGCATGCGCTGCCGCCACTTGATCCATCCTAAAGAGATACTTCACCAACAGCTTGAGCTGCGTTCCCACACTGCCTGCATTGCATGGACACTCTGATACTGATCTATGAAGCTGATTGCACAGAAGACTGAATAAATGCAAAAACCTAAATAAACTCAAAGGAAAATATTATTTTCATTTTCTTTTATTTTCTTGAGCATTGCTGCACGACTTGCACACCCAAAGAAAATACCACTGCTTCTAGTGGATACTGGGCTTCGAATTCTAAGTCCATCAGCTTGGAGCAGTGGAATTAAGAGTTGGTGTGATTACTAGTATTTATTATTAAAATATTGTCAATATTTAGATTCATGATTCCCAATAATTATCTATACTCACTCTTGAAATAATTCTCTCAAGGTACCCCTCATGCTGGAAATTATACATAATCTTCAATGCACACATGATAATTTTCTCTTCCCAATTTTTGATAATTACTTACCATCTTCTGTACCATGAGCACTTTCCACTAAACTGGATACTTCACTTCGATAGCCTGGTGTTCCTTGTTGTCTTCGTTGCCATGCTAATACAGAACTCCATCGAGCAGGAGAAAGTTCTGGTTCCAACGCAATTACTTCTTCACGCTTTCCAGTATTAATTCCACAACTCTGACTACGCTTCAAGGCTGAAACTGGTCTATCATCATGGGAAGATTGCATCCTGTAGTCAAAGAGAAAAATATTGTAATTATCTGCTGATTAATTATTGTGATACTGTAATTATCTGCCGATTAATTTTTGGGATATTGTAATTATTACCAACCGATATTGTAATTATTATTAACATTATAATTATTGTTGACCAATAGCATTGACAATTCTAGCTAAGATCTTAAAATAAATAATTTTACCCTGAAATATAAGTTAATTAATGAAGTTTGGCTTCCTAAAAGATAAGGGCACTTAATGATGCCATTAGCACAACTCAGAAAATTTATTTATGTTAACCTGAGCTTTAGTAAACCAACAGATTGTGCTTTTCTGGATAACTCTAAAGCATTTGACACTTGCTCATGAGATACTTCTACCCCATAATATGGGTGTAAGAGGTGTATCCCTCTCACTATTCAAAAGTTATCTGCAAAACAAAACACAAGTTTTCAAGTTAATTGGTTCTAAAAGTCAGTCTGTTAAGATAAATACTGGGATACAGGAGGGTTCTATCTTAGGCTCACTGTTGTTCATTCTATACATAATTGATCTTTTAACTATACAGGAAGATTTATTTGCCTATGCAGATGACTCAAACTCCAGTGATGGGATCAACGTGATCAGAATTAGCAACATCACCAAAATTGGATATTGAGTACTAACGGCTGTATAAAAGCAATTTATTACTAAACATCAAGAAGTCAAATTTTATAATATTTTGTAATTATAGAGACTCTTTACCTAATACAAATGATAGCTCAATCCACATAAAAATTCCGAGTGGGTAAAATACGCACTGAGGATTTGGGGTGAGAGAAATATTTCATAAATGTCATATTCTAGAAATGCCAAATTTCATAAACGTTAACATCACTTTTTATACACTGGAATTTAAAGATATAGGGATAATTGGGGTAATTCTGAAAATGATCTTTTTAAATACTTAAACATACAATTTTTTCTTTTGCAAGGTAAAGCATTTGACAAAAGTTGTTAAATGATTAAACAAAATAAAAGAAAGTTTTTTTAAATATTTTGTTATAATGTTCCATTCAAATAAACGAAGTTTCTTGGTTTTGCATCGACTCAAAACATATATGCTACCAACAATGTTGCAAGATCTGCTCAACAGTATAGCGATTTTATTTGTTTAAAGCTACATTACTGATGAAATTGATTTGCCAAAATTGTTAAATGAGATTATATTGACTTTGGCCATTTTCTAAAGACAATTAAATTTTCTTTTGCTTCGTTCTTATAAAATTTTATTACAAAGGTTTTTTAAAGAGAATATTTCTGGATGATATGCCATCCCATCAGATTTTATAATGCAACTAAAAGTATCAGGTAGAATTGAATAAATTCACACAAGGGTATGATTGTATAATGTATCATTGTTCATTTAAATTTACTTAAGAGTTGATGTAGGACTTCAATATTTATCTTGTTTTTTCATAGTCCTCTCCTTTCTTGTAGCCCTCTAATTTCTCATCGTCCTCTTTGGTTTCCTTTAATATATTTACTGAAATATCATATCTTGACAACAGACAATATTCAATAAAATTTATTTAATATCCAGAACAATTTAAGTATATATTAATTAATTTAAGTATTATACGATAATACGATAATACATTGAAAACAAAACAGCATCTATTCACAGATAGGCAGACTGTGACGGCTATTATCAAGGAAATTGCGGGTGAGGATTGTGTGGTGTCAACAATGCGCTTGGGCGAAAACCACCAAAATAATGATTCATCTAATAATGATGAAATTGCTTTATTCAATTGGTTTCATTATTCTGAACAATATTCACATGAGTTAGCTTGACCCTATTTTTATAAAAAAATGTATGAAATGAATGTGATGCAGATTATTTTATTTTCACAGAAATTCATAAAAAATGTAAAGTTAGAGCTGCTGATGATTATGAATCTTATATCCTTACAATCGAATCTTCACAAGGTTTTGACATAAAATCGTTTAGGAAATTTACTCACTCGGTCAGAGGAATCAATGGCCTACCAAATATGATGTCATTTACAGATTCTCTCGCCCAAAATAGTAAGGATATTCTTGAAATGTTTGCAACATACTTTTAATCTTATGTTGAACTTGGAACTAATAACCCCGGCAATGAAATAGTTGAGAATTATACTTTCTCAGACATTAATATATCTCAATTAGAAATAATTCAAATGGACATGTTCACAGCATTGAGAAGTTGAATGGTAATATTGGTCTCAGACCAGATGGTATTCCTTCATCGTTTTTGAAAAACTGTAAAGCTAACATTATTCCAATGTTGCACTATTTGTTTAATAAAACTCTTAATGAAGGTTCATTTCCATCGGTTTGGAAAAGAAGTTTCACTACAAACATTCACAAATCAAATGAAATATCTAATATTGTTAATTATAGAACAATTTCTAAGTCGAGTACCATACCTAATCTATTCAAATTAATTCTTACTAATAAAGTATCTACATCTTTTAGTCATATACTTATTGATGAACAACACAGGTTTAGACAAAAAAGATCAACAACCACAAATTTGGTTGCAGCCTAGTATACTTACTTACCGAACATGAGCATCTGGTGCAACAAGGCTTAATGAAGGGGAGGCAGTAAGTGACACAGATAACGAAGGTCCCAGAGACTCATGCCATGTGCCTCTCCATTGCTCTGTGCTTCGTTTTAATAGAACATTCTTCTTCCCTCTGCGCCATTGTAATGGATCACACGATTCATCATCACTATCACTATCTTCAGGAGGAATAGACACTTCAGCAACACCTTGTAACTTAGATCTTTTAGGAGAACTTGATACGAAATTTTGCTTTGGATCATCTTCACTAGGGCATGTTTCGAGAGTTGTGTAGGTATAACTTTGAAGAACTCCATTTTCATCACCTTCAAGCAAATGTGACTATTATAATATTTATATACAAGAAAATGAACACAAAATTTAGATACACTCACTGGAAATAGGAATATGCAAACGAGTAACATCATTCCATAATTCTGTAGAATCCTCCATATGTGGCTGGTACAAATTCTTCATGCCCAATGGTGGAATCAAGGAACTTGTTTTTTTCCTCCCGGTCATCTGCTTATCTTTCACTAGATAATAGAGGCAACCAACTTGCTTCAAATGATAACCATTAACATTTAACTTGCAAAACTCCTGTCAAAACAATATTTATAAAAGAATGAAAGCTTTAACAGGTTGCATCAATATTGAAAATGCATACTGGGTTGTTAGGCCGACTAATCAGTCAAGAACCAACCAGAAGGGTTCTAAGATTTCTGCCCAAATATCGCTAAGGAAGACTGCCACAAAAGCAGACAAAACAATTGTAGGAAGTATGAGTAATTTGACTAGGCCTTGGCCTATCAACCCAGTAAGCAACATCAAAACCAATATTTATTCCCAAAATATATTCTGATTTCTCAACAATGATTTTATCATTAAGTTAAGTTATCATTAACTTAAAGTTGCATGCTACAAACATAACCAGCATTTTTATACAAAACTAATTAAGTTAGGATCAATATTAGAATTATCAGAGCAATATTACATTAACTATCTTACAAACACTTCAGCCTTTACTTAAAAAAACTCCTAAACAAAAAGTGAGGGAAAAAATAAAATAAAAGGAGAAAGTATGCATCTTTAATTTTTGGAAAATTCAAAGGTTTAAATGAAAATGTTAGAAGATTCTTTTTCCTTTTTTATTTATAGACAATTTAATCTTGCACTGTGGTTAAAATTTATTTCATCCGTTTAAAAAACTTATGTACGTTTCAAAAATCATAGTTTTCATCATCAGCTACATGAAAATTGGTTAAAATTCATACATATCACAGATTGCATATAGCATATTAAATTGTACAACATTTGTGTATATGTATTTAAATAGACAGGCATCCGTGCCAGAGCTGGTTTAATATAGAAGCATATGTAACACATGCTAATGTTACAAAAATTAATTCGCAAATCAATTGTAAATATTAGTTATTTATGTAACAAGTCCTCTAAATTAGTCCTTAAAGACTAATTGAGGACTGTTGCATACAAAGTTTTTTGTTATTTCTACGTATTTAAAATAAACATTTGACACTTTCATGAGATAAGAATTTTTATTACTCTCTATGTTCTATAGCAAGGGTTGTTGGTGCAGGGTTTTCGTATCATTTTTAACGTAATGATTGCAGTGGATGGAAGGACCAAAAGACAAAGGGGGACGAACGGGACAAAGCAGGGTAAAGAGAACGAAGAGGGAAATGAGGGGGGGGGGGGAATTTACTTCATACAGTATATTTAACTCATTGCAACATACTACATAAGAATAATATGTCACACCTTATGGACTTACTTACTTCATGTGTTTAATTATGAAAGTTTTCAAAAGAGTCTGTGGTGTCTTTAAGTTTATAAGTACATTTGAAATGTAATACAGATTTTTAAAGAACCCTTACGATAAGAAAAGATTCATAATAAGAAATAATCCTCCACTGGCTCGCATAAGGTTTTTCAGTTCAGAAAAGATTTGTGAAGGCAAGTTGTGATCACATGTAGTGGCAGTGAAGTTTATGTATTTGTATGGTATGTAAAATTCATTTGGAATTTTTAAGTGAAAAATTGTGTTGTGAAATGAATACAGGGAGGATGGCTCGTCCGTTTCCATTTCTAATTTATTGTGATAGCGAGTTATAAATGTCATTTTTATAGTTAATTACAGTAAAACTTCACTTACATGATTTTTAGGGGAATGAAGGGAAAAAACGAATAAGTGAGAAAAACGCATAACTGAAACTGAATATTATGAGCAACAAAAATCAATATTTTTAAATTGGCAAATTCCACTCTTGGACCTGTTTGCACGAACTGCCAGCAATGTTCCTCTTGATTTATTTAGTCAAAGAACAGTAAAAGCATGTGGCAGTGAGGAAGAAGTATCAAATGGAGGGTTGAAAGCAGTTAAAACGCTACGTGTAACAATAAAATTAAACAACATGAATACAAAAATTTCATGGGCTCCTCTATGATACAGTAAATGTTCTTACTTCTTGGTCACCTATGTCATTATCGTTTGGCCTTCGTACAGTATTAAACGAACTTTCATTATGAACATGTAAGCCTGAAAAACGTATAAACGCAAGACATATCTGAAATAATTTAGCCTGCGAAGTACAGGAATTTACCGGGGAATTACAAAAAACAATGTGTAAACATGAAAAACATATAAGTGCAAAAAGAATAAATAAAGTTTCACAGTATATTTTCTGTGGTTATTACAATGTGTCTGAGAGATGATCTTCATATGGCACCAACATAACCTTTATACATTATTATATTTTTTCACTTTTATATCAATGTTTTCTACATTACTTGGGTATTGCCATAAAAAATCCACTGAAAATGGGATAAACTGTTCTGAAGACAATTTTTTTTATCTATTTATTTTATTAAAACACATGATTTTTGTTTGGTTTATTATCACTCACGCTCATTCTAATGTTAATTATTTAGTTATAATTGCAATAATGTAAAATTCTAACAATCTTACAAAACAAATAAACAACAAATAAATCCAATCTGATGTAAATGACAATCCTGTAAAATAATTCTAAATCTTGAATTTGACGCACGCACGCACCCAAAGGCCACTGGATAGTGATGCAGGAGCGTGTGGTAGGGGCGCATACAAAGAGACGCTACCTGGCGGTCCTTTAGACAACTGACAGCAATGAGACGTGACATATAATGACAATATTCAATGGAGGATTACACCCAAGTGTGGTTCTTAATAGACGATTACTTCCAAGCCCGAAACACTCAGCCTCCCTGCCACCCCCACCTCCCACACACACACACACTAAATGGGCTTGGAGATGCATTGCGTCAATTTAGACGCAACAAATAAAATAAAATTTTTAAATTTTTTAAAAAAAAATTGTGCCAAATTTCAACTTTGAGAAGACTGCAATACAAAAAAAGATGTACATAAATATCTAAAATTATGAATTTCTGTGCTTCAATAAAAGAAAGCATATGTAGAGTTTGTTTAAAATCCAAGATGAGGTTACAAGTTCCTTTTTTCCCCCTTCATCTAAAGTGAAAGTGCTGAAATAAAGAGACATTTACATGTAGGTTCTTTTCCTATGGCCCATCAGTGTCCAAAGTCAAATCTGACAAACCAGTGCAAATCATATTACAAAAGAAAAAACTGAGAAATGGCAAGTTCACCTGTAAAAATCTTTCCAAACTCTGTTCTGGACCAAAAACAAACTGTAATGGAACCTTTTCCATTAAACAGCTAGCTCGACCAGGGGAGCTTGCAACATGATCAGCAACTAAACTCAAAGTCTGTTCTTGCAATGGAAATATGTCAAGTAGAAATGCAGCAATTTCATCTCTCATTAACCATTGTATCTGAAACAGTATGAATCAAAAGAAATAAAATACTGGCGCATGGAATAAAATAAAATCAGCAGCAATTTCAGAGCATTTTCCTAAAATATACCTCCTCTACACAAGTAGTAACAGCTTTATGCTGATAATCTGGTAAATGTTTCAGTCTGTCAGCTGGGACTGCTTCATCTACATATCTAAGAAAAAATAATCAGAAGTTCAGAATAAATAATAAAATCTTGAAAGAATAAAAAAAATATTGCAACCATACATACTGTTGCATAGAAATAAGACTTCCACTAGCTGAGGTAGCAAGGTTTGCTTCATCTTCTGCTGGAGGTGGAGAAGTACTACACAGTGATGTATTCCTCATTTCCAAACGGCCTTTCTCTGCCGTGACACTCTCCACATCAGGGGGTAATGTCAAGCACAATACATCTAGAGTAACTTGAAGATGATTCAGACTTAACTCTGCTTCATTCAATTCTAATGCTTGAATTAACTCACCTGTATTACACATACAGAATCATGTCTTAAGAGTAATACTCAAGTAAAAAAACCTCAGAATAACAATATCACTTTTTTTAATGTACTTGTACAAAATGCGGAAGAAACTGCTAACAGAAATATTATTTGGTAAATTTAGTTCTAGAGTCACAAGATTAAAATGAAAAACAATTATTACTGTTAACTGCTTCAAACATGAAATGCATTATTTTAACAAAAACTGCATCAGTAATGATAAGGATGAAAAAACACAACCAATCTACCACAGCTTTATGGTCATTCCCCTTAATTCTACCCCAGCTTTATGGTCATTCACCAGTCAAAAAGTACATTTTACTTTCTCATCTACTATGTATATAAATAGTAAAGATCTTACACATACTTACCAAGACAAGTTGGTAACATACGAACTGAGCAACTACCAATCTTGTCTTTGCAACGTAATGTACAAGTGAGATGTAAGAACAATGGTGAAACTTCTTCAGATATATCATCTTGAAGTTCACTTAAACTATCAGAATCAACATTAGATAATAAAGATGTGCGTGTTTCATCTGGAGCCTCTTGACCTGTTAATAAAATAAAATAATATAACACATAATAACATTTAGCAAACAAAATCTATAAGAAAATCTTGATTCACATGAAAACAAGAATGAGTGAGACACGCTAACTCTTACCTAGAATACTTTCATGGTCAGATCTAAACTCCACAATACCGGAATATGTTAATTTATCAACTTCGTCTTCAGTCTCTATTACTTGGGGCTTACTCAAATCAGCTACTGCTTCATCCTGGAAAAGTAAATATTATGGTACATGTATTGTCACATAAATTTATTTTTTTAAGTAGCAAGTATAAATTTTTTTTATTACCTGCTGTATCTTGTCCCAATAAGGAGCACAAAAATAGAACTCAGGATAAGATGGAACTGGTTTGAAAGAGGTCATCAAGATGGACATGAATTTGTCTTTTATCATTCTGTGGAGCTGTTTCAAATCTCGACAAGGGAAGTGAAGCTGTAACAATGAAACTGGAAACTTCATTTCCATTTCATCAGCAGTAATTCCCCCATAGCTTTCTTTTACTTTCTCACTTTCTCCAACCATTTGAATGCTATTCCCTGAGGTGGATTTCTGTGAAGGAGATTCATTTTCTAACAAAGGCACAGATTCAGGTGAAGTAACTGGAACAGACACTTTGTGAACAGTCTTTTGTTCTTGAGATGAAATTGGGTCACAAGACTGACTTTCTACCAAAACAATCCCAACTTCCTTCTTTAACAATTTTTGGACATTATCCGCAGATTGAGAGGATAAATCAGAAACTTGTAAATTGCACGAAGCATCTTGAAATATATCAAATTCTGAAGAGCTGGCAGTTGGTTGTTGAGATGGCACACATACTGAATCAGCATTTTCTTGCTTTATTCCATCAGCAACAGGTAGAGAAGAAACTTGATCAATAATTTTAGAAATTGAGATGTTACTTAAACTTCCAGGGCAAGTATCTGAAGTGCCTACAACAGGAGGAGCAGTGCTGGTGGAGGTGGTGGCAGTCGAAATGGAGATGGAAGTGGAGGTAGAGATGGTGGTGGTGGCAGCGGTGGTGGTGGTGGCAGCAGTGGGAGTGGTGATGTTAGAAGTTGTTGTGTCATATGGAGAAGAAGTAGCTACCATGGTGGGAGCAGTGATGCCAATATTTGCAGCTGGTGAGACAAGATACCCATGATTTGGACTATTCGCAGCACTATTATGCTTCATTTCATTCATTTTCATTTGTATGCGGAAGTCTTTTAAGTGCCCACACACCGTCTGAAACAAAGTGAACAGAAAATGAATGGAAGAATGAACCAATTTCTGAAAAATAAATCTCTCAGTTATTTGAATATAAAAATGTGAAATATCACCCGAAACATCTGATCCACTACTTCACATTTTTCAAAATTTTATATCCATAGAAAATCTGTCAAGTAATTTATGTAATTTCAAAAACAATCCACAAGAATGATTTTTAAGATAGTACCTTTAAATAATCTGTAATATCAATGTCAATTAGGGTTTCTTCACATTCATCCACAGCTGCTTGAACATCAATTGAATGTACATCATGTGCCATGTGAAGAGATTTAAAAAGAGTAAAAACAAAACATTTGCTGTAGGCTAAACTCAGAATTTTACAATAGTGGAGGAGGTTTGGTTTATCTGAAAAAATAAAAAATAGATAATTAACAAAGTCCAAAAGCATACTCAGGAATTTTTAAAAACTTTTCATTGAAGAAATTAAGAATAAATAAATCATCAAACCATAATTCAAATCAAATGTTTATTCAGTTGCAAAGAATTACCTATTCAATAAATCAAATGTTTCAGAGAGCATCGTCTCCTATTTCAAAGGTTCAGCAAAAATTCAGAGTTAAATTTTGATAGAACAAAGAGTAGAGAAATCCTTTTATTACTCATGTCAATGAATTCATTCACCTACAAATGAATTGCTTTGTCTAATCATTTCTAATGCTATAATCACGTCTGTCTCTTATTATGTTAGACAAAATACAAAGTACCAAGAGATTCAAGCATTATCAATCTGTACATGTACAAAATAAACAAACAAATATATTTTCAAATTGTGATTACATGAGGTCTTTATTCCTTCATTTTAACAAATGTATACTAAAAAGTCTTGGCTTAAGCTATCAAAATTCCTTAATTTTTGTATTTCGCACACCCACTATTAACAAGGATCAATGAAAAGGGAAAATCATATGAATATCCTCTACAAAATACCACTGAATTTCATAAACTGAGGGCAGGTTGGCAAATTCATACTGACATTAGCCTTGAAACAGTAGACTTCATATCTAGAAATACTAAGAGTACTCTACGGAACTGAGTGTCCTAAAATAAAAACACAGTTTTCCATGGAAAAAAAATTAAAAAATTTTAAACAGCCATAGTTACTAATTAGTTTTGCTTGCTTAAAATAAAATAAATTTTACGTTAGATTTTGAAATTCACTACAAAAGAAACATAGTCATTGTTTTGCAGCACATGATTACATAGCATTCTCTTCCTACAAAGTATTTGTAAGGCGAGAAAGTAAAAAGTAAAAAATGTCAATTTTTGGTAGAGTTTTAAATTGGCTTGGCTTCTGAGGTTATCTGCTAATTATTATTCCCACAAAGATCAATACTGTATGACTTTTACACAAATTTGAAACACTCAGCACACGTATCAGTGGTTTGGGTCTCGTTTCCAGACAAATACATTATTTTGTAGCCCTCCAATTTCTCAAAACCAGTAGCTAAAAAGTATTGTTGTGTCATGTCAATGCTAAACAAGGAAAATGAAATATTATTTTTATTTATATTTATATTTATTTATAATCAAATAAACTCTTACTTAACTGTAAGTTATTTATCTTAATTGTAAAAATATAAAGGCTCAGATACAAGGTTACATTTGAAGCTTAACTATTTAAAGAGATCAGATAAAAAAGAAAAATTATTAAAGATGCAAATTTAATTTAATATTCAATTCAAAATGATATGGAAATATCATCCTCTACAAACATAATCCTCAACTTAATACATGAAAAAAATAATAGAGTCAAATTTAATAGAGGAAGTATACTTACGAACTGCAGATTCAGAATCATCTGAAACCGGTTCAGGACTTAGATGTATGTTTGATATCACATGAGGCCGTTCCTCCATCTCCCTCTTCCTTGACCTATGCATTTCTTCATCAACGTGATAATGAATTTTTGCTTCATCTTCCAATTTAAATCGTCTATCATCATATACATCTTTCATTTTAACGGAAGAATCTTTGAAAACAATTGCTTCCATTAATAGAGCAAGTGGACAATCATACACATAAATTGGCAAAGTTATTGCACCTAAATTGGGCATGAGATTTGATTTTAAAGGACTTTTGCCATCTGCATTATTTCCATCGTTGAGATCTGATAATAAAGACACTTTGTCTATTGAAGATTTCCGAGGAGAAGATTTGGAGGATGATTTTCGAGGAGAACCTTTTGGAGAAATTCTAGGCGGCGATTTCTTCAAATCACTTTCACGTTTCAATTTTAACAAAGTGTCACTTTTAGAATCTTTTAACTGAACACTTGAACAAAGAAATGGTCTTACTCTTCTGGTCTTAGAATCCATTGATCCCGCACGAAGACGGTCCAATGCTTGTTCACTTACATCCACAAGAACAGGACGTTTCACAGTATCCCATGAGCTGGCTCTCATGCGGAAAGGAGTGTCAAATATAAAATCTCGTTGAGGCAAAGGAGAGCCAGCATCAGAATGAAGTCTACTGACTAGGGGAATCTGGCCAGTTACTTGTCCGGTATCACAAGATGAACTTCGAGACAAGTGTGCAGCACTTGCACTAGAAGTTGGTGTCATGCTTATATTTCTATCACCAATTAATTCAGATAAAGCAAGGTGAACAGCTTCAACACATGGATTGATTCGATCAAAGCTTGATTCTTTCCCTTGTTCACTTTGATTATTATGATCATGGCTGGATTCAGGATTCTCCAAAGACAATGGACGTTCCAAAACTTTAGGATGAGTTGGGGAAACAAACTTGACAGCACTTGAATGAGCACCAGACAAAGTCTCTTTTGTTACCATTAGCATCTTCAGGTCTACGAAACTAGCAGGAACAAATGTCAGCATAACATGAGTTACACTTATACCTTTCAGAAAACATCTCCATTTAGGAACAGTTTTTAAATTTATTGGGGTTTTGTCACAAACTGTTCCTTCAGAGCCAGGGCTTCCTGCACACGACAATCCTTCTTCTTGTCCTGTTTAAAATAAAATTAATTTAATGCAATATTGATGCAAAATGATATTAGTGCATTATAAAAATAATATCCACCTGGAACAGATTTTCCAGCAAGTTTTGGTATTGGTAAAGGGATATCAGCTCCTTCTCTCTCCCTATTAAGTAATATGTGTAAAAATCTTTGTGAATCTTCTGCACTTAGATATAATTCTTTGTTATTTAATTTTTTGAAATGTTCGTACAGCATATCATATAGAAGCTTGTTTGGCATATCTGTCTGTGTCAAAAGAGGAGCAGCATTTTCAACTGGTGATGGTACAGCTGAACCTAAATCTTAATACATAAATATCAGGAAAATTAAAAATACAAGTAAAAGATAGTATTTCAAGAGCATATGAAATTTCAAAGTGTAGCATGATCATCATCATCATCATCATCATTTTCGTCTTACCTTGAATATACATAGAGAACAACTGTTCAGCTTGTTGACATTTTGGTAACATCTTCATCAAATTAAAGGCAAATGGTATGAACTCAATTCGCTGTTCTGATGTAAACTTGGTCGATTGGCTACACAAAATACAATACATAATAAATTATTAATTCCTTGGATTTTTTATCAATTATAAAAAATTCAAATACATATACTTTTCAATCTCATAAAAATAAGAGTAGTATATATAAAATAATTTAATTTCTGTTAAATTAGTTGCTGATATTTTTCATTAAAAAGACTGCAAACAGAACAGTAGCAACGTTAAACAACATCAGATGTTTAAATGAAAAATCAAACAAACAAATGTACATATAAATAAATGAAAGAAGTCTGTGGGCTATTAAGACTCAAAGTTGTAGAATTTGTTGCAACTCTTCTAGAATAATATTTGGCCTATTGTTTGCGGTCTGAGGTTGAAATACTGACAAATTTTTGCTTATGCTGCTAATTTTTACCTATGAGACGGATATTGAAAATGAATTAAGAAACAAAAGAATATCAATATCATGAGCATGTACGAAAATACAATTTATAATACACTGTTATGGTGACAACAACAAATGATAACAGTAAATCAGCACAAAAGCTAAGGAATTTTAAAACTGGAAAATTGAAAATATTTTCATATACTATCTAAAATCACTTGTGTCATAGGACCTAAAAAATTGTAAGTATATAACTTTTCACGGTCAATAAGAAAACAAGATAAAATAAAATAAGAAATGCAAAATTAGCATTGAGTCCAATTGAAAGAAATATCCTAAATTGGTAATATAACTATTTTGACTCATCGTGCTTGTGTTTTTAACTCAACAAAATTTAAAATGAAGTTGAAATTTTATGTTCATTAACCTTTTTTAACTCCCGAGTTCAAATATAGTTTTTGAAAAGAATCCCAAGAAAGAATTTGGACATCAGAAAATAAATTGATCATACTAAAACTGTTTTAAAAGGTAAAAAAAAAATTAAGTCAAATTCCCCATAACTACTCCCTAAATGTGAATGGCTGGTGTAGAAACAGACTGAAGGAATGTCAGAAATGATATTTGTAAAGAAAACAATTCACTAATATCAAATATAATGAACATTAACAATCATAATTAATTTTGAAATTAAATTTTAATGTTCAGAATATGAATATAGGAACCAAAGCAGTAGTCATACCTGCAATAAGTGGCTGATTGACAATCTTGTTTATTGTCTTCAACAATTTCAACTTTTGGAGTGTCAGGTACTTTCACTGGCGATGGTACGCTTGTATTTCGACACATCAAACTGAGATGTTCAAATGTTAGCAAGGAAGAAATACATTCAGCATCTACTTGACAAATCTGTAAATAAAATATGATTTATTTATTATCAAATACATACTCATCAAAAATGTGTGCTTATAATATAGACAAGTGCACAAAAAATTACAACAGCACAAAAGGCTCAATGAAGGGGGGGGGGATATTTATTAATTCTGATTATAAAAAAGGACAACAGGAGTTTTGTCAGCAGATAGGTTTCATTGCAGAGAAGAAACAAGGAAATTTACTTAGGTCTCTCCATCCAAAATATACATCAGTTTTTCTTTGGATGATGTTTGGTAGGCAAGTAGATGAAGTACTTGCAACTTCCTATTCTAATGGTAGGGGTTTTGGACATGTATATTATTGCCTATTTTTTTGCTCTCAATAAGAATATCTTTCATAAGAGTTACATGTGAAATGATGGGCAGGGGGAAAAGGAGTTTCATTCTAAGGGTGAAATTGAAATTCTTCAATTTATTTTGAAATTGACAAATTTGAACATTTTATTTTAAAAAATACATACATTTATCCAATTAGCTATGTAAATTATAATTAATTTCATTGTACTTGGCAACATAAACAATGTTTTTCCCTTGTGAATTAAAAAAAATTGAATTGACAACTAACAATTGTATTGTCTGCTACGACAATTTCAGTAAACCACAAGTGGTCAATTTGTTGAAATCTTCTTGACCACCATGAGATATGTCTTCCATTTGAGAAAAATAGTATTTAGATATTTTATTTAACATATTTTGCTTTAGTTTACATTGAAAAACGCACATAAAATAATGTTTTGAGTGAACATAAATTTTACTTGTGATAACCCCTTTACTCTTCTATCTTAGAAGTTACATTTTTTTCATTCACATATACTACCTTACCCACTTGTATCACAAATTATAATAATTTTACTGACAGTTTTATACATTCATTTTAATTAAGGTTTTTCTACTTTATTTTTATTTATTTATGTATAAATGGATTATAAAGGTGAAGATTGAAACTTCCTTATAATTTTGAAATGAATTTAGATAAAAAATTTTATTATTGTTAAAATTTGTTAGTCATTGACATTTTCCAGAACCTAATTACTATCACTACGAAATAATTTTAACATACGTAATAAACATGTTTCCATATTGAAGAAAAACGTACTGCTACAATATAAATTTTTATAATCAATAACTGGCTGGGGGTAACACCATCGGTAATGCTGTGTCATCAGCCTGAGCTATGCCCATTTCTAACAGTACAAAAACAGTTAGTTTTCAACAAGCTATTTCAACTTACTAGAGAGATCTGCAGAATCCAGAATGTATAAGCAATTTCAGATAGCATATGAATTTGTGATCTTCATTCATGATAATAGTCTGTTGAACCCTCTTGAAAAACTCAAAATGCACACCTAAATTAAAAATTTCAATAAATCAACTACAACTGTTTCAATGAGATGTTGACATTTATAACTGAGCTATGTTAAGGTACAACACAGTCAGTGTTGCAACCATAAAAAGGATTTTCAACCAAAAGACATCGTGAGGTAGCACATGAGTGAAGGAAAATGCAGAATATCATTGGTGGACAGTTGCATAAAGAAAGGTTCTTTGCTTTCATATGGTAGGAATAAGATGATTTTAACTCCTCACATTTTATTCCTCAAGCAGCTCCTTGGGCTTCATTTCCCACTTATTAACTGTAAAGTTATTATCGAGTTAAATTCAAAGATCCAAATCAGAAGACTTAAACAAAAACAAAATTGTAAATAGCTCAGTGCTTACAACAAAGAAATATCAAAGATGGTAATCCTATTCTAAGGATATTCGTACAGAATATTTTGGACTGTTCTTTAAAAGAAAATCTCTGCCTTCATTGATCACAAAATCAGACGAACTGACAATGGCACCGATAGGCATCACAGGAGCCTTAGATTACATAGTACTCACAACGGCTGACATTACAATATATAAGCCAAGAAATCTAATAGGCTACTCAGGAATTCTGTGGTGAATATTTGTTGCACCTCATTAATATTGTTTGAAGCGAGTACCATTAAAATATAAAAACCGAATAAATCCGCGAAAAATGCATTAAAAATGACGTAAGAAGGAAAAAAAGACTTATTAGTCGAAATGGCTGAAAAACGCAAAAAAAATACAAAATGGGTCATTTCATTTTATCATAACCCAAAATGAATTTCTATATCAAATGGCATTGTTCTAAAGTGAAAAGAAAAAAAGATGACATTTCATTTAATCTGCCCCCTAGTCATCAGGAAAGACTAAGTCTAGTGACTAGTGCCTCTTAGCTTGCTCGTATTACCATAGTTAATAAAAATGTTCTTGGTTTCCCCATCTTTTGTTTGGTCTCTCTAGTATCCTTTTCCTCTGAGTTAGTGTTTCATATATTTGGAAGTCAATATGTCTGAGTCTTATTTGTATTCTCATTGCTTCCTTAAGTATTTATCTAGTTCTGATACCATATATTTTTATTTTTATTACTTCATTACTAATTTTGTTTTTCGTCTTTCTTAGTCACTTGTGACCACACTTATCTGCACAGCCTCAATTCCCTACTTGCCACAGTGACTATACATGCCTTCCTGCAGCATAAAAATGTTTGGCTACAATGTGGCATAATTTTTTTATGTATTTCAGTAGTTTTTTATACTAACTGAATTTATCCAGTTTTGTTGCAATTCTCTTTCTTTTATTCACATGAAAAACACAATAAGCTTTGTAAGGGCATAACTCTGAACATATCGTTTGGTGAATGCAATATTGTTCCAACTCAAAAAATTAGGTGTTGAGATAAATGAGTAGGAAGTTTTCACCTTGTAAAAATGCATCATTCTTGCATTCACACTTCTGCCATTTGTTAGTGAAATATGTACTGTACGATATGCTGCTGTTGCTGCTGGAAAGTAGACCAATTTGCAATTCTAGGGAGTGGGTTAACTCAAAATTCGTATTTTTTGAGTTCTGCCACTAGTGCACTCCACGAGCAATACAATACATTTTTAAAGTGCAGAAGGGATATTACAAAACACTGATTATTAATTAAATAAATAATATTTATTAATTATTAAGAAAATATATAATATTTAATTGATTGTCCTAAATCATTAGAAACTTTCAATCTATAATGCAAAAAGTTAATTACATTTTGATTTTCAGTATTGGAATCCTCTTCACAAAACTTTTCAATGTCTAGTTGTTCATTAAAATTTTTTAACATATATATTGACAAATGTAAAGGATTCTGATATCAAAAATTAATGTTTAAATTATTTTTTGTCTGAAAAAATTTTAGCATAATTTCAAAATTAAATTCTGAGACAAATTAGTATTACATTAGTGAATGTATATAATGAAAATTCTTCAGACGAGGCGATATTAAAAAACGTTTTGGAGATAATTCCATTCTAAGAAACTGAAATGTCATGTAACTTTATTTTTTTCGTAATTCGCTGTTAGAATATTGTCTGAAATTTTTAGTCATAGAATAAATTTTTAATTCTCAAAGTTTCAGCTAGTACCCATTAATAAGTGCCAAAACATTGATTAAAATGAAATGAAATTACAATGAATTCTCACACTCAAAGAATACATTTGATTTAGCATTTATATGATCGTTAGATCCAATTAGGCAGTAAATGGAACATAAAAAATTTGCATTATTTTCTTGAAGGATAAGATTTTGTATTTCTATATTGAAGTTCTAAAGGATAATTAGTCTACTAAAGTTTCTAAGCATAAATGATTACATTAAGAAGGAAAAACCATTATTTAAAGAAATGACATAATAATCCACATTTCATGTATCAGTCCAAAAATGTATAAATAAGTTTATAGAAAAATAGAAAATATATACAGTTTGTGTGGGTTTACAACTTTGTTTTTTCTATGGCCTAAACAAATGACAGAAATGTGGGTTATTACTATGTTGCCCTGTTTCCTTTAATTATTATATAATTCAGATGAATACATTTGATCTACAAGATCCTTATTCTCATACTGGGCTCAAAATATGTATTACTGGAGATTTATTAGGACAAAAAGGATGACAAGTGGTAACAGGATGTATTTTGTCATATCTGGTATTAAACAAAGAAAAAATATTCGGTATATTTAACAACGTGTATTTATAACAAAAAAGCTACAAAGACTTTAATCAATTAAGTAATTAACTTTATTCAGAACAATTCTATAATACTGCACTAACACTTCATTAAAAAAATTAATACAGTAGTTCAATTCAGTAATAGAAGGCAAATCATATCACACACACACAACACAATATGAAGGGTAGTGGCTTTTCACTACAACTTCTTAATTAGTTTAAGAAAGTTGATATTTTCTGTATTTTTCCTAAGAGATAAACATAGCTAACAAAAATAAATCTACAAAAATATTTATTTTTGGCACTTTTGAATATTAACAAATGTAATATTTGTTGAATAGTTGACATTTTAATTTTATAAGAAAATAATATAATACAAAGGCAAGAAATTCCTTCAAATTTCAAAAATTTCATGCATTTTAAAATTTCAGAACAAACAGAAAACAAGTTTACATTTAAATCCTATCACATATAAAAACTAATCATATAAACATGTTAACGATAAACAGACCCAATAATTTCCAGAATGGTTTTCTAAAGCAACTACTCTGTTAACGAAAATTTTATCACAATGCAAAAGTATGACAATTTCATTTGCTCTAGCTTTTATTTTGGTTGATATTGATTCCTATAGATATTTAAGAAGAAGCCAAGTTAACTAGTTTTTGAAATTCATACAAAACTTAAGAAAGAATACAACACAAAATACCCAATTCTTATTCCTTATATTGTTGACGACAGATTATATGTCAATTACTCTTCAGTCCACTTCTTTCTTCTCAGGTAAGTAGCCAGTTTGTAGATGATGAAAGATGAATGTTGTGGCTGAAATAAGTTGGAGGAGTTGAATCTCACTTCGAATCAAAGTGAAGAGACCACTTCTCCACTTAGTTCGGATTCCACATACTTCTTGG